CCCAACCCTCCTGACCAGTACATCAGCGTTCACTAGGGCATCAACACCTTGGTTTTGGTGGGAGTTACGGTGTGGACTAGGTGGTTCAACGGTTTGGGATACGACCCCCCCCCCCCCCCCCCCCCCCTCTCCTTATCATAGATCAATAATGAAGTTCTCGCGAAGGCGGTCCGCCCTAATCCGAGCCCTATTGTAGTATCCCTAACCCCACATCCTAATCCTACACCCTCCTATACAACCCTGTTCTGTCCCGACAGGTCTACTACCATAGGCAGTACCCCTCCCAGGTCGCCCTCTACAGCGTCATCAACGCCGGCTTCGTGAGCGTCGGGGGCATGGCCTCCTCCTACGGGGGAGGCGTGATCTCGGACCGCCTGCGCGTACGGAACGAGGGGGTGCTCGGCTACATCCCCGCGCTGGGGTCCCTGGCGGCCATCGGGCCCATGGCCGTCGTGCTCTTCGCCAAGGACTTCTACGTGTCTGTCGGGGCCCTGTTCGTGTCGTATCTGGTGGGGGAGTGCTGGCTGGGGCCTGGGATGGCGTGCTTGCAGGTATCTATTATTGAAGTAGGGGAATCGGAGGGTGTCCAGTAGTCATGGTTTTGCATGCCTTAAAAATATGGTTGTTTTTTAGGCCGGCCGTTGACCTCGCATCTCTACAATGCCGGGACGGAGCGACACGCCGTTTTTTCGCTGGCCCAGGCTGCACACCGTTTTGCGAGAATGAAGCTGGTGGTTGCACCGCACCGCACTTTCTGTGCGTGTCTGCAGTTGCAGGCACATGGCTTTTCAACAGCAAACGTTAACCTTTGCGTGCCCCGCCTCCCGCCCCTCCTTCCATCCTGTTTTTTGCGACCAAACAGATGGAGTTGCCCAAGGAACTCGCGGGTACCAGCGTGGCCATCTTGCTCTTCTTGAACTCCGTCATCTGCAACATCGGCACGTGGTTCATCGGGAAAATGGACAGCGGCCTGGCGACGGTTAGGAAGCCCTTCTTCGCAGTGGTAAGCTACGGAACGGCCAGCCGGCAGTGACCATTGGGAACAGGAAATGGTTGTCGCTATCTATTTACATTTTGTTTTTGTTTGCGATGGTGATGGGTTGGGATTGGGGGTATACCCTACCTGCGGAAGGGGTGCTTCGTCGCCTTTTAGAGCGGGCGCCGCCTCGAGCTTCGGCGGCAAGCCCGTGCCTGTTGATTCCGGCGGAGTATTTTCGTTCACCCTTTTCTGGTCACCGGTGCAGGTGGTGCGTTGTGCGTTGTGTTTCTTTCGCTCTTCCTCCGGTGGTTCATGGTCATGCTGAGCCACGAGGAACGACGCCGTAGAATGTAAGGCTGTCCAGGCTTGTTACGCCCTGGACATTCTTTCTGTACTTGAGGTTTATTGTATAGGCACAGGGCGTGTTTCTCTCTCTCGCTCTCTCTCTCTCTCTCTCTGCTTTTCGCTGTACCGTTTTTTGGGGTTGGCTGGAGACCACGTTTTTCTTTGTCTTTTCAACCCAAGCGAAGCGTTGCTACTGCGTACAGGTGGGTCCGAAATCGTTTTGATGCTATGATGGCATGATGAAAATCGACCTCAACGAGTAACGACAAAAACTCCCCCCCCCCCCCCCTCCCGCTCTCCGCTGCGTCCCAGTTGTTTATGAGCTACTTGACCTCTTTTGTCCTCTTCGGGGTGCTGGGCCTCATGGTGAGCAGGAAGCACCAGCGGCGGAACAGCTGCCTGTTGAGCCTTCGTGCGGCGGGTATCCTTGAGGAAGAAACCGGGCCGGGTTGCGGTGGCAGTAGTAGCGCAACGGAGTACGCCAGCGGCGGCAACGGGCGAGCGGCGACCTCGATGTGCGAAGATGGTCCGGAGAACCTTCTCGAGAGCCGCGGGCGGA